AAAGAAATCGTCGAACATCGCAACCTCAGAGATCGGCACATCTGCCGCGCACTCGACCAAGGCAAAGTGCTGGACCCACCGATCGCCTGCTTCATGGACGTCCTGCGCCATGCTGCCGTCCAACTTGCGAACCATGGGTAGGGTGGACTGCATGCGCTTCTTCTCCGAGCCGATCCCCATGCCTCGCAGCCTGGCGTAGGCGCGCTTGGACTGCCTGTTGCTCCACGCGTCCCCGATGTCGGCTGCGATCCGCGTGTAGTGCATGTTGGCGTCGTCCTTGAGCGAGCTCTGAACTGCGCGCAGGGAGACTCGCCAGGCCCACTCTCGTAGCGCCGCTGCTTTCTGCAGCAGCCTCGTAGTCATGCTGAAGAGGTCGGGCAGGAGCTCCGTCCAGGATGACTCGGCATCATTCAGCAGGTTCATGGTGAACTGGGTCGGCCTCAATACCATCGGCTCCAGGAATAGGTGGCCGTCTGGGCGCACCCTGGCCGGCTGAAGGGGGCACGTCCTTCTATGCTGGATCCTGGCACCTGGGCGCGAATCCGGTATCCGTGGCGACGTGAGGCCAGCCCTCGGTTCGAGGAGCACCGGGGCTGCCGGTTCTGACCTTGGCAAAGCGTGGCCCATCGAGGCATCCGGCAGGCCAGTGGCGACGACTTGGGACGCTCTCGGCTCGAGGAGCACCGAGGCGTCCCGCTCTGACTTCGGCAAAACGCGGCTGCCTCCATCAGCTTCATCTCGCCACTCGTCAGCACCTGCTCCTGCGCAGCCTGCCATCGAGGGTGGAAGGTCGATGGCGGTAACGCTTGAAGTCGCTGGCCATCGTGCCCATGTCATTGTATCCTGGGCATCCCCTTCTGCTGCTGCCGAACTCAAAGCACTGAATGAGGCTGATGCTGCGGCCGCAGCCATTGCCGCCCCCGAATCACTGCGGTATGCTGAAGAGGCCGCCGAGGCTGTTGCTGAACTCAGGGTCCAGGTGGCCCTTGAAGGTGTGGCCGTAACCGTAGCCGAGCTCGAGGCCCCGCGGGATGCTGGAGTTGCAGCCGAGGCCGTTGCCGCCCTTGAAGCCCAGGTGGCCACCCTGCAGGGACCACTTGGTGTGTTGGCGCCGCTCCCAGGACCTGAGGTGGAAGAGGACGCTCTGCTCCCTGAGCCTGTCGCCGTCGACGCCGCCGATGCCGTCGAGCATGCTCGTCTCGTCGGTCTGCTCGACTCCTCCTGCTGCACCTCCTCTCCAGCTGGGTCCGCTGCGCATACTGGCACTGCGGCGCCATCTGTGGCCGTGCCCCCTGCTTCTGAGCTCGCGCTGGCCGCGCGACTCCGCCGCGGCTCCCTGGGCGCCAAGAGCCCAGCGGCATCTTGCCCAGCGGGGTGTACGCCACCTTCAGGGGAGCACTGCCCCTGGATGTGGGTAGGTCGGGCCTCCTCCTCATCCTCCAGGTCATCGAACGGGTCGTGGAACCCGTTCATCGTGTCCCGCCAAGGGCGGAGCAGGGGACTGGAGGAGGAGTGGTCGTTCTTCCTGGCGTCGAGGGGGCTCATCTCATGTGCATGTTGACCGGCGCCTTGCGCTGCTTCATGAGTGCCATTCTCTTGCCCTGTGCCAAGATCCTCCTGGGAATTTGTCGTGGTAGGGCCAGTCCTGCTGGTCGCCTGCTGGTGAAATTGTACCCTGCCTCCCTGCTTCTCTGGGAGCCTGTGCACGCGAGTGTACTTCTGTGGCCGCGGGAATTGCTTGGCCATGAGCAGCGCCGTGCCGTCCAGCAACTCACGGTATCCTTGAAGGACAGGAGCCAGCTCCGGCATCACTCTGGCACAGGTAGGGCCAAGGCGGACCGAGCAGTCAAGCTCCCTCGTGCGTAGGTTGAGCCAGAGGTCCCCTTTGGGCATCAGCGCCCACGCTGCGAACAGCACCCTGACCATGAAGACCTGGCACCTGGACTGGACTTTGCTGGCGTTCTTGGTGCCCTTGCACCTCAGCGAGCAGAGATCCCGTGACTTGGTTGACGTCCACGCAGGCTTGGACCTCACTGGGTCCTTCGGAAATGCCTTCTCCGCGGCGTTCCTGACTGCCCTGTCCAACTGGTCGGCGTGGTCGTTGGGATGTAGGTCCAGGGGGAAGGCCGGGATGGTGTCCATCATCTCCTCAAACTGCTTCCTGCATTCGGGAACTCCGAACTTGGCCTTGTCAACAGCGACTCCTTTCCAAGTCGGAGGGTGAGGCGCTGCTTCGGTCGGTGGAGGTTCAAGCAGCAAGTCCACGAGGGAGTGGTCCTGCTGCGAGATGGCAAGCTCGATGTCGTGGTTGACTCCCTGGTCTTTCACGTACTGGAGGAGGCCTGGCGAGATGCACACGTAATCGAGCCTGTGCTCGTGTCCTCGCTGGCCTTCGCGCCCCGGGCAGCGCCAGGTCACGTGGTGCCCTCCTCTGGACGGGCGCAGGGTGCTTGGCAAGCACACGGGCACCTTGGCCGCAAAGTGCCTCAGCGCAGCCCCTGCATCGTTCTCCTGGGCAGCACCGTGGTTGCCGATTTCTGCCGTGGTGTGCTGGCCGACCCTGGCGTTCGCATCCATCAGGCAGATCAGGTTGTCCTTGCCCTCAGGGCGATGCTGCTTGAGGATCTGGTGGGTCTGCTGCCACCAGCGATCTCGTAGCTCCTTCGCCGTCCTGCTGTGGGGCGCATGGGCCACCAGCACATCGATGCTGAGCAGGCTGGAGCGAATGCTGACGAGCATCCTGCGTGGGTCCTGATGCAGGACTGCGATGTGCTTGGACTCGAGGGTCGGGGCGCCCTGGTGGCGCAGCCTCAGGTTGACCCAGAGCGAAACGCCGTACTGTCCCTTGGAGTTCGCCGCCGCGTGGAAGATCTGGTACTCGCCTACCTTCAGCACCGAGGACTTGGGCACTCTCGTCTCCAACGTGCCGACGAGGTGGTACTTGAAAAGCCCGAACTGGCCCGAGAGCATGTGGACACGCCCTGGGAGCAGCACTCCTGAGAAGGCCTTGCCGCCTCCGGTCCTGGCTTTGCTCGGGTCGAGCGTGAGGACATTGGCGACTGCTACCCTTAGCTTCACCTCCTGCTGCAGCTGCTGGGCGTCTCCCGTGCCAGTGCCCTCCAGGCGGTCGTGCAGGATGTCTGCCAGCCCGCGGCACGGCGGAGCCAGCTGGGGAACTTCAGCCCCTGGGGTGGGGTACTGGGCCTGGAGATGCGCTGGTGCCGCTGCAAGCCAAAGCCACGGCGCCTCCTGCGCCATGTCCAGGACACGCTCCCAGAAGCTGCCGTCGAGCGCTGTCTCGATCTCTCCTCCTCTGGCTAGCGTGGCAATCGTGTCTGCCAACTCGTTCCAGCCGTTGCCTTCGTGCGCCGGGACATGCTTCCAGCTGAAGGGGGTGACAGCCTGCAAGAGCTTGTGCATCCCGTCAAACACCGTGGAGAACGGGGCGTACGTGGCGAGGGAGGCCCCTCCTGCCGCGATGTCCAGCACGTAGAGGCAGTCCGAGTGGAAGGTGATGTGCGGCATGGGGGTGTCCATGAGGTGGACCGAGGGGTCTGCCTGGTGCAGCTGGAGAACCCACATGGCGGCGGCCGCTGCTGCACAGACTTCTGCTGCCACGGAGGGCTGTGCAAACTTGTCCGCGAGGTCCGGCATCGCTTGGCCCAGGTAGCCGATGTTGGACATGCGCCCCAGCGCGTCTGTCCCGATCACCGTGAAGGCCCACGACGGGGGGCCTGGCATGTGGCCCTTGTCCGCACCTCCTGAGCCATCCGTGTAGATGTCCAGGGAGACGTACCCGAAGGGAGATGCTCTTCGGCCTGGTACCGCCGCAAAAGCATCCTCACAGCAATCCGCCAGGAGCGCCTTGGTGGAGCTGTGGAGAGAGGGACCCAGCACGCCCTCGTCCAGGGCCGTGAGGTCGAAGGGCCAGGCTGCCCGTAGCATGCTGAGCGCACGCTCGCAGTCTGGCAGCGGCACCACGCGTCGCGGCTGCCGCCCTTGTAGGTCTGGCTGGGTGACATCACTAGGGGCCCCGCCCTCCCTGTCACCTGGGAGCGGGGTGTCCTCGGCGAGGCCCCTTGTTTGTCACTGGGATGGCCTGGCCACAGCGCTGGCCGGACTGGCCATCGACGCTGTCGAGGACGCTGCAGCTGGGGAGGCGGGAGAACCTCCTGGCATCCTGTCCGCTAGCCCTGGGCCAGCAGGCTGCCTGGCCTCGGGTGAGCGTGAACGCTCTTCTCTCCCTACTTCTTTCTTGGCCGCCGCCTCTGCTGCTGCGGGTCGAAGCTGCAGCCTGGTCTGCTGCCTGCCCGCATGCTTGTCCCGCTCGGCCTCTGCAGCTGCCCGCTCCTGCTCGCGGGCCAGCTTGTCTGCTGCTGCCTTAGCGGCCCTCTCCTTGGTGGCCGCGATCGCACTGCCACCTGCATGTGCCGCGGGGGCTGCTGCTGCGGCCTGCGCCTGCTGGGCTGAGGCTGCGGCTGAGGGTGCCTGTGCGGCGGCGGCCAGGAGGTTCGAGTTGATCTGCATCATCTGCTCCATCAGCTGCGCCATGCCTTTCTCGAGTGAGGCCACGCGCTGCTGCGTCTGTGCAACCTCCGCCACTTCTTGCCTCGGCCGCGGCGTGGATGGCATGTCCTCGTCATTGCCATCTCCGTACTGGTCGCGTGCACGGCGTGGCTCACTCTCTTCGTCGAGGCAGGACGAGAGCTCCTCGGCCTCCTCATCCCCTGATGCTGGTGGCCTCTGCCATGCACTGCGCCTGCCCTGCGCCCGCGGCTGCGGCGGCGGCGCAGGGTACGAGCAGAAGTCCGCCATGTTCAACATCTGCTCCAGGAAGACCTGCGCATGCTCAAGGCGGGGGGGAGGGAGGGAGGAGGGAGGGAGGGAGGGAGGGGCGTGGGGGGGGCGGCGAAGGTCGTGGGGGGGGGTTGTGCCTGGCAGACCGCGGGCCGCTCCTCCCGCGGGCCGCGGCGCTGCTCCTTCCGCGGCGCCTGGCCGAGGACGCGCCCGCGACCGTCGGCGGCGGCGACTGCGGCCTGCCCGTGCTCTGGCACGAGATCGGGACACCGGGGGCCACGGGCGGCGGAGCAGAGCCGCAGCCGCGCCCCGGCCGGCCGGTCTCCGAACCGCGAGCCCGCGAGCTCCCTCCTCCTCCTCCTCCTCCTCCTCTCCTCCTCCTCCTCCTCCTCCTCTCCTCCTCCTCCTCCTCCCCTCCTCCTCCTCCTCCCTCCTCCGTCCTCCTCCCTCCTCCTCCGTCCTCCTCCCTCCTCCTCCTCCTCCTCCCCTCCTCCTCCTCCCTCCTCCGTCCTCCCTCCTCCCAGTCCGCGGGGTCGCGGCGCAGGGTCTGGCCCGCGAGGCCGCGGATACGTCTCTGCTTGTCGCCCACGAGGGGGGTCGGCTGCGCGTTGAAGCGTGGCCCTTCGCCAGAGTGGCCTCTGTGGACACGAATTCGGCGGCGCAGTCCGAACCCCACCCTCGCCGATCAAGAAATTCAGGCAACTCGATGTGCGGCGGAGGTACGCCTCGGAATTCGTCGAACACGTGGCGACATCCGAACCCTTACCCCCGCCTCCCATCGATGGTTGGTGGGGGTAGGGGTTGGCTGTCGCCACCAGAACGCAAGACTCGAGTGCGCTGGAACTCGGGCTTGCCCACGTTTTTTGACGGGCCCGCCTGGGTTTTGATGGACCGTTCCCGCGGCGCGTCGAATTTTGGAGCCAGCCTCGTCACTCTTCAGACGGCCGAGCCCCTCGAACCCGAGTCTTACGTCTCCCCGACTTGCTCACGCCTTGCCCAGGGGGGCGTCCTGGCGGCGTCCTCGCATGCAGCCGAGGGGGGGGGGGTGCGCGCCAGGAGCTCCCCGCCGCCCGTCTCAGGGGCAGCGTCGGGGAGGGGTCGGGGGCGGCCAAGGGAAGAGGGGGTGATGACTAGGGAGGGGGGGATATCATGGCGGGGGCCATGAGATTTCCTCAGATCTCATGGCGCCTCTTCTCATTTCATTACGTCCCTGCGCCCCCCCCCCCGGGCCGCGCACATGCCGCCGGCCATGACTTGCGCCCCCCCTCTTGGACGCCCCCCCCATTGGCCCCCCCCGAATGGTCGGACCTGGGCACAAGCTCGAGGTCGGTCCTGGGAGGGGGCCGGGAGGGTCTTCGCATCTTTGGCGGGACGTGCTCGTGCGCGCTGGAAGAGAGGGCCCCCCCGGATGTCCTCCGGCTTGGCCGGCAGAGGTCCCCATGCCCTCGCAGGGTGCTCCTCTGCCCCAGGTCGGAGCCGTGGGCTCGGGGGGGTGGGGGGGGGGAAGGCGCCTCGAGGCCCCATCGAGGCTGCTCGGCTGTCCCAGGCCGGGCCGGGCCGCAGGCTCAATGGGGGGGGGGGCACGGAGGCCCAAACACGCCCACCGACGGCCCGCCCCGCCCTGGGAGCGTTCGGGCTCGCCGTTCGGAGGCCTCTCGCCGATGCCTCGGCGAGGCATCGCCGGGTCACGCTTGAGGCGGGCGCGTCCCTCTGCAGGAGCAAGATGCAAAAATAGTCGAAAAGTAGTATTGGGACGATTGTTCTACTACTTCTGACTAGTTGGGATTTTTTCGCTTGGCCACTGTTTCATTTTTCTCCCAAAAATCTGCCTGCGTGAGGGCGTGCCCGACCCAAAAGTCGCGCTCGAGGCTCCCCCGAGGAGCAGCCGTTTTCCCCTTGTCTTCCCCCTCTGCCCGTCGAGGGTTGCAGCAGCCCACGCCCCTCCTCGTGGTCCTCGCCCGCGGAGGGGGAGGGGGGAGGGTGGGGGGGAGGGCCAGGAAAAGGGGGAGGGGGAAGGCCAGGGGGAGGGGGAGGGGAAGAGGGTGGGGGAGGGGGAGGAGGAGGGAGAGGGGGAGGGGGAGGAGGAGGAGGAGGAGGAGGAGGGGAGGAGGAGGAGGAGGAGAGGAGGAGGAGGAGGAGGAGGAGAGGAGGAGGAGGGGAGGAGGAGGGTGAGGAGGAGATGGAGGTGGAGGAGGAGGAGGAGGAGGAGGAGAAGGAGGAGGAGGAGGAGGAGGAGGGTCCTCGTCGTCGTCCTCCGGTCTCCCCCGGTGCTGCTCCGAGGCGCGCGTGCGCCCCCCTGGCTCTGGAGTCTGTGGCCCGTGGCCCGTGGGTCCCCCGTGGCTGCCCTCCCACCCTGGTCCCCGGTACAGTGCCGTTTTTAATACATGCTCCGCGTGCGAATCATGTATTAACAATGCATGAATTTAGTATCAAAAACAACGATGAGCTCATGCATAAATTTGTTCATGCATTAATCATGTATTAACATCCTACTGGACAGGCCTGACGGCCGGTGCCGCCGACCCTGATCGAAAGGGCTGGGAGTGGGGGGAGGAAGCGGAGGATGAGGAGGAGGAGGAGGAGGAGGAGGAGGAGAAGGAGGAGGAGCAGGAGGAGGAGGAGGATGAGAGGAGGAGGAGAAGGAGGAGGAGGAGGAGAAGGAGGAGGAGGAAGAGGAGGAGGAGGAGGAGGAGGCGGAAAGGGCATCTTGGGGGTCTTCCGGGGCCTCTTGGGGCCTCCTGGAAGCTTCTTGGGGGGAAAGGGTCGATATTGGGGTTCGGGCTCCTCCTCTTGGGCCCCTCTTGGGGCCCTCTTGGGCCGTCTTGGGAGCCTATTGGGCTGTCTTGGCGCCCTTTTGGGCTGTCTTGGGCGCCTCTTGGGAGACTCTTGAGCTGTCTTGGCGCTTTCTTGGGGGTCCTCTCGGGCTGTCTGTGACGCCGTGAAGGCCGAAACGTCGTATATGCAAAAAATGTAAGTTTCCGATGGAAAAGTAATGAGTGTGGCCTCTTAAGCCCTTCTTGGGGGTGCTCTTGGAGGGGGCCTGGGACGTCTTGGAGGCTTCTTGGACGGTCTTGGGGCTATCTTGGGCGTCTTCGGCCGATCTTTGGGCGACTCGGGGCACTCTTGGGCCGTCTCGGGGGCCATCTTGGGCATCAGGACCTCATTTTGAGTGTTTTCGATGTTTCGAGGCCGCCCCAGGAAAAACTAATCTGCCCCCCCCCCCCCCCCCCACCCCCCCCCCCCCACCCCCCACCCCCCCTGGGACCCCCCCCGGGATCCTCCCAGGGCCCCCCCCCCCGGGACCCCCCCCCCTGGGGAAGGGATCAAAGGGAAGGGCTTCCCTTTGAATCTACAACGGCATGACGTCAGGAGGGTACGGCCCAAGAAGAAAAAAGGGGGAAGGAAGAAGGGGGGGCGGCGAGGAAATGATGCCGTTCACTTCATGTCGAATCGACAACGATGACGATCCGAACAACGAAAACACAACGATGACAATCCGAACAACGAAGACGATTCGGACGAGGAAGCCCCTCGCACACGCCGACAGGGTCGACATTAATCATGTATTAAAATCTCTTTTTTTTTGAAAAAAAAAAAAAACATGTATTAAGAACTGCCCTGTAGGGGGGGGGTGGCTATCATGGCGGGGGCCATGATCTTTCCCCAGATCTCCTGGCGCCTCTCCTTGCCCCATGACGTCCCTGGCCCCCTCGCTGGGCCGCGCACATGCCGCCGGTCATGATTTGCACCCCCCCTCTTGGACACCCCCCTCTTGGCCGCTCCCGAGGTCTGCCGTATGGTCACCCGCGTGTCCGCCCGCAGGGTCACCCGTGTGGTCACCCGCTCTGGTCTGGTCTCTCGTCTGGTCTGCCATCACGGTCTCCCGCAGGGTTCTAGACCTCCGAGACGGGGTAGGAGTAGATGGGGTCGGAGGATCGCGCCGTCCGGTCTGGTCTCTCGTGTGGCCTCCAAGCATGGTCTTCTCCCGTAGGGTTCTAGGCCCCCTGGATGGGGTCCGAGTAGTTTGAGTCGGACGATCGCGCCGCATCACCGATGCATCGGCGATGCGGCTCGATGTGGAGAGCGATTTTCTCCACGCTGGAGAGCGATTTTCTCCACGCTGTGGGCAGGGGCAGAGTTACCTCAAACAAGAAATCAGCTTCAAGTTCGGTTCGGGATTCGTTTCGAGAATGTGAGCGAGGCGATGATGTGTCTACTAAGGCAAGGGCCGAGAAATCTGTCGTTTGTTCTGCACTGGCCCCGCGGTGCTTCGTCGTGTTCCCGCGGTTGCATCATGGTTGTCCCGTGACTGCACGGTGGTCGCAAGTGTAGCAACCAACATCGATAATCTAAATGCAAATCGAAAGGCCGATCGGACAGCAGATCGCAGATCGAACTGCACAGCGACATGCAAAACGACATGCAACATAGTGTCCCCTGGGTTGTTCGTCCCGTGGTTGTCCGGCGGTTATCGCGTGATTTGTCTCGTTGGTGATCGTGGGTTGTCTTGTGGCTGTCATGTGGGTCATTGTCTGACGGGTTGTCTCGTGGTTGGCCCGTGGGCTGTCCCGTTGGTTGTGCCGTGGTTGTCCCGTGGCTGGTTCGCGGATTGTCCCGTTGGTGATCCCGTGATGCTGGATTTCGGCGTCTTGGAGCCTTTTGGGACAGCCTCCTCGTCCTCCTCACCCTTTTCTGCCTGACTAGTCGCCGCCTCCTCGGTCTTCATCCTGGCCATCCTCGTTCCCCGTCTCGTGCGCCTGGCTGCCCTTTGGCCACTTACAACCACCGTCGCGATCATCAGCACCGCCGCCCTCCTCTCCTCCTCCTCCTCTCCTCCTCCTCCTCAACCTCCTCCTCCTCCTCCTCCTCTTCCTCCTCCTCCTCGTCCTCCTCCTCCTCGAGCTCGAGATGCCGACCCTCTTGGTTACCTGGACGGAGATGTGGCTTTGGAGCCTCCTCCTCCTTCTCCTCCTCCTCCTCCTCTTCCTTCTCCTCATCCTCCTCCTCTTCCTCCTCCTCCTCCTCCTTCTCCTCCTCCTCCATCCCCTCCTCCACCTCCTCCCCCTCCTCCTTCTCCCCCGCCTCTTCTTCCTCCTCCTCCTCATCCTTGTTCCCCGCCCCCGACCTCCTGCTCCTCTCTTCTCCTCCTCCTCCTCCTCCTCCTCCTCCTCCTCCTCCTCCTCCTCCTCCTCCTCCTCCTCGTCACGGCGGCGTAGCAGACGTTCGGGGTTTTGTGGATGCCGCCCTCCACGATGTGGTAGTGGTGGTGGTGCGCGTCGCCACGGCTTCACGCGCGCTGCAGCGGTCATCCATGCCGCTCTCGCCGTCGTCGGGGGGTGTCGCTTGGCGGCAGGGCAAGACGCACTCGAACCCCATTGCCGAGCACGCCACGCGGGACGGCCAGGCGCTCTGCAGCGTTCCTCATGCCGTTCTCGCCGTCGCAGGGGGCGTGGCCTGGCGAGCACTTGCACCTCACTGCTGAGCACCCCCCGCGGGACGGCCGGGTGGTGGTGCAAGGCCGGGCTCGGCAAGCAGTGCTGCATCGCGCCGTCGACGCAGCGGCCGAGGACGCAGGCGCGGCGCCGTTGGACGCCGTGCGTCCGCGCCGTGGTCGTCCGAGCTCCGGCGAGTGCCCTCACCGCGGCCCCCGACGGTCTGGCAGGCGCGGCGGCGCCCCCAGGCGCGGGCACAGGCGCAGCCAGCCGCCCAGCAGGTCGTATGGGGAGGCTGTCCAGCTGCACCAGGCCTGGACAGTCCAGCTCGGTCATCATGACAGTGCCGTTTTCAATACATTCTCCGCGTGTGGATCATGTATTACAAATGCAAGGATTTAGTTTAAAAAACAACGATGTGTTCATGCGTACATTTATTCTTAACTTAATCATGCTTTTAAAATCAGATATGTTTGAAAATCCCATGTATTAAAAACTGCCCTGTAGGGGAACAAAAGTGACATAAGCATAAAAACTCAGAGGTCCGCGCGGATTTCTCGGATCGGCGCTGAACCCCCCTCCCTGGCGCGCGGAGCGCGCCAGGGGCGGCGCCGGAGGCGCCGCCGGGGGGCCCCAGCGCCGATCCGAGAAATCCGCGCGGACCTCCGAGTTTTTATGTTTATGCCATTTTTGGTTCCCCTAATCATCACCATCGTGTAGTGGAGGGTCGCCTTCAGCAGGATCTCGTTCGCGATGGCTGGCCACCCGGCGGGCGCGGTGCTCGGCCTGGGTGAAGCGGAGAAGGTCAGCTTGCTGGTGCACACGGCGCTGATCACTGCCCGCTTGCTCAAGGAGCGCGAGATCGAGGTTGCGCTTGCCAACGTTGGAGGTGTCCGAAGCGTCGCGGCAGATCTCCGTGGCCAGGCGGCGGCGCTGAGCACAAGTCCCAGACAGTGGGGTGACGAGGTCGTTCTGGAAGACGCGGGAGACACCTTTGACGCACCAGGCCAGCCAGTCCGCTTCGTTGTCGATGGTGCGATCGTGAAGGAGCACGTCAGGGCGCTACACCACATCCTCGTCGTGATTCTGCACCACCCTTCCCATCCTACACGTGATGTCGTGATCCTCGTCGTGATCCTGCACGTCATGTCGCTACACTGCATCCTCCTCCTCCCCATGCTTGGTCGTCTTTCTGCCCCCACCTCCCCGCACCGCTGCCTGGCCATCCCTGGCAGGCTGGGAGGGCCGCCCCCGAGGGGAGGATCCTGTGGCAGTCCGCGCGGCGGCGGTCCCGGAGCGGCACGACGGACGCTCGGGAGCCGCACGGGGGATGGTAAGGAGGAGGAGGAGGAGGAGGAGGAGGAGGAGGAGGAGGAGAAGGAAGAGGCCGAGGAGGAGGAAGAGGAGGAGGAAGAGGAGGAGGAGGAGGAGGAGCAGGAGGAGGAGGAGGAGGAACAGGAGGGGGAGGAGGAGGGGGAGGATGAGGAGCAGGTGGAGGAGGAAGAGTATGTTCGCGACGTTTGCGGTGTTCCGGCGTGTTCGTCGTCTGCCAGCGGCTATCCAGCCTCGAGATGCCTTCGGCGGCTGCGCCGCGCCGAGGAAATTCATGGGGGGGCCCAGACCGTCCCGAACCGCCGCTGGAGAGCCGAGTTATGACCCGAAAGCCAGGAGACGAGAAGGAAGAGGAGGAGGAGGAGGAAGAGGAGGAGGACCAGATTAAACCTACGACTCACCCTTGTTGGAAACCGCCCGCCCTCCATCTGTGAAGCATGTGCCAGTTTTAAAGCTTGAGGATCTTAAATTGTAAGGAAGTCTCAGCCGAAACGCCTGGGCCGCCCTTCCGACTGACCTCTCGGGGTGCGACATCAGGCCCCCGGAGATCAGGACACTGATGAACCAGGACACGTAAACCCAAGGAATGGACACCATTTCAAGCAAAGTCACATTTTTCAGCACCCGTGCATGTTTTGTTTGTTGCGCTGCAGGATGCGGGTTCGTGTCCGGGTTTAGGGGGATACTGCAGGCTTTTAGGGCTTGTGTCTAGGGTTATTATGGAAGTGTTGCAGTGCAGTGCTTTGTTCGTGCCGCCGTCTGGAAACATCGGTTGTAAGGGATGTTGGGTGTCGGGGTCTAGCGGGTCCAGAATTTCGGGGCCCTGACACAGGGAGGAGTTATTCATAAGGAAAGTATTCGAAGAGGAGGAGGAGAAGGAGGAGGAGCAGCAGCAGCAGCAGCAGCAGTGGGACCTGAGGTAGGGCCAGCAATGGCTGCCCCTCCCGTCCTTGGGGGCACTGGTGCTCCCTCCCAGCAGCACCACTGCCTGAGGAGGTTGCATGCCCCAGGTGCAACGACAGGGGGGGAGGGGGATAGGCGTAGCGGGGGATACATCGCTTTCAAATCGCCCATTGATCGCCGCTAGGGGTCTGCTAGTCCCAACCCGCCTAGGAAGGTAGTGTTTCACGCTTAGGGTTCTGCCGCCGATCTATCGGCGATGCATCCCCGATTCCAGGTCGATGCATCCCCCCTGCTCTGCCAGTCCCCCCCCATCGTAGCCCCCCCCCATGACGCGCATACAGCAAGCTTCGGCAACGGCTTCCATCTCCTCCCTCTGCCCGAGGAGCCTCAGCGTCGTTCGGCCCTTCCTGGGAGGCCTAGGAGGAGGTCGAGCCCCGGTCAGGAGGTGGAGGAGAAGCTGGGCAGACAGGGAGGGAGGTCTGAGCAGGGCGGGGGGGGCGACAGAGCCTGCTGCGTGTAGCCGGCTCCGCCCCCGCCGTCCGGGACGGTCCTCGAGGAGCCGTCGCGTGCGGCCCCCGGAGAGGCACGAAAGAGCAGTGGCGTGCAGCTGATGCGCTGAGCCCTCGGGAGATGGATCGACCTCCGACCCTGACGCGTCGATTGAGGAATTGGCCGTTCTCGGTTCGCGAGAGGGCGCCGCGGCCGTCATTTTTGCGGGTCCCGGTCCGTCGGTTCCGGCCCTGGGCCGTTTTCACTAAGGGGAGGTTTACTCGCCGAAGCCCCTCTCCCGCGGTGCCCGCCCTCCGCCCGGCGCCGGCTCCGAGAGGAGCTCGAGAGCGCGAGGTCGGAGGAGAAGAAAAGACGCCACAGCCATGCACTTTGGGCGCTCCACGCGGAGATCTCTCGGGTCTGCGCGGTGCGCCACACGTTTGTGCTCGTGGCGTTTTTGTCGCTTCTGTGAGGGAGGGGCGAGCACCCTGCCCGCGGGGAGGCGCGGAGGGGTGGGGCGCCCTGCAGCATGCAGTCATGCCCGCGGGAAGGCGCGGAGGGGTGGGGGGCGCCCTGCAGCATGCGATCTGGGAGGTCGCGGCTCACAGAGGGGGCCTGGGGGCGGAAGTACCGGAGAGTCCGCGTGGTGCTCCCCACTGGCTTGGCATCGCTGAGACGTGTGCATGTTTTCCTCGGCGAGAGCCATCGAGGAGCATCCTGGACCATCGAGCAAAAGAAGCACGCACGAAACCGACAAATGCACCGGGAACGGACGTCCGAGCGATGGCAAGCTGGGCCCCCGCCCCCTCCATCTTTCGGGGAAGCGTAAGGCTCGAGTTCGCCGGAGCTCGGGTGTGCCGACGCTCTTAGGCGGGCCTGTCCTGAGAGTGTGGACGGTCCAGTTCTCGTTGGATGCGTGCAGCGGGAGTTCAAGTCAAACTTGGGGCTGGATCTCACCTTTTTTCTGACGGCCCCGTCGGGCCAACTCGAGTCCCGCCAACACGTCTCCCCGAATCATCCTTGGAGGTACGTCGCAGGACCCCTCATCTCTGCAAGTTTTTCGTGCTGCAGATAAGTGACCACGAGGGCGCCCCAAGCCGAACAGAAGCAGACATACCAGAGCCTCCGCAGTTGCGGATATGGGTGAGGGGGCGGGGCGCGGGAGGGCGTCGGCAGCCTGCAAGGCTCGAGGGAGAAATCAGAAGCGCGCCGCAGCCGCAAACATTATTTCACACGACACAAGCCCGCCGCAGCCGCCGATTTCTTGGCCAAAGCATCGTGGGTGGGTCGCGGGTCGATCGGAGGTTGTTCGCGGGTGCGTCGCGGGTGGGTCGGGAGTGCATTTGGCGGTGGGTCGCGGGTGGGTCGCGGGCAGGACGCGGGTGGGTCGTGGGGTTGGTCGATGGTAGGTCGCGGGTGGATCGCAGGGTGGGCCACATCGCGGTGTGGGTCGCGGGTGGTTCGCGGAGTGGGTCGCGGGTGCGTCGCGGGGTTGGTCGCGGGTGGTAGCGAGTGGGTCACGGGTGGGTCGCAGGGTGGGTCGTGTGGTTGGTCGCGGGCAGATCGCGGGGTGGGTCGCCAGTTGGTCGCGGAATGGGTCGCGGATGGGTCGCGGGCCGGGTGGAGCGGGCGGGGCTCGCTGAAGCGCCAGTCTTGCATGAATCGCAAGGAAGTCTCGAGCGATCGAGAGCCTGATTGCTGAGTGCCGCGGGCGTGGCGTGTAAACAACTTGCGAGAAAGTCCCACGCAAGATCGCGAGTTCTTGCATAAATTCAAGGGGCGTCCCGCGCGAGAGAGCGATTCCGAATAGATTGTAGGGAGGTGTCAGGCGGGAGCCGCTGTTGTTGAAGTTCGGGGGACAGGGGGCAGGCTCTTCCACCCCAGGAAGGTCAGCCCCTGCCGACCTTGGCGCCCTCCCCGCAGGAGGACTGCGAGCACGCAGGGGAAATGACAGAGTTGATCGACAGGCCTGCCACAGAACATGCGGCTGCGGGTAAGAGGGGGACTATTGAGAACACGTCGATGTGATAGACCTACCTGAAATCTGAGCGAGGCCATCCACCTTATGTTTGTGCTTTGTCCCCACGCTGGCGTGACATGGTCACGCGGCCAGGCAACACTTTTACCCTCCGGCACGGCAACCGTTAAAGAGAGCTGAATTGCGGAGGACTTGAGAACCATCGTGGGCTTGTCGGAGGAGCCCTTGACGCCGCACGACCACTCTCCAGAAGAAGAAGGCATTGAACTTGGATCGTAGGTTGTGAGTGCGACTCAGTAGAGCGTCACGCCTTTCCCCTACGCAATAATATTACATTTTGCACGTTCGACGCATATTGCTTGTTTGAGGTAGCCTTCGTGAATGCAGTCTGCATGTGTCTCTGAATAGCTCCATGTATTTATACGCATGCTCGCGCGATTCACTTGCCTTCCGGCATGTGCCACGATGGCGCCAGTGTTGGTTTTGTTTCACGTTGCCTACAAAGGACATCATGTCTAAGGCAGGCGGAAATTCAGTAGCTTCGGCCAACCAGTTGAGCTGGTGACAGACGATTCAAAGCGCGCTTGTGAACCACTTGTTATCTTTGTTGCAGGCCCTCCTGCCAGAAATTGGACAAGCATTGCTGTGCGCATGGGCGCTCTA